CGGATTCAGAGTATGAACATTGAAACATTGAATTGTCTACATCAGGTCGTTGGTTTTGGAACGATCGACAGTAACTTGCTTCAGATCGTACAGATCGTAGTGAAGTTGCGACGAAGGCCGGTATGGCCTGCTTCGCTTCTATCCTGGTTTCTTTTTGCGCGTTTATCCTAACTCTCCTGGTTTGAAGGATGTTCTGAACCTCCCTGCTCCGAGAGTGCATGTATCGAGTTCTCGTGCATCAGAGAACCCTTTCGGAGTAGAGTCTATCCTCACAGAGAAGCAAGTCAGTGTAATTAGTGCTAACTGATGTATGGGAGTGACATCATCGAAGGAAAAACAGAAGGTCCAAATCTTGGGCAGGTTGCTGATATTGAAAACTACCTCGCAGTTCTGAAATTCTCTAATTCAGGTTGTTGTGCGATAAGGGTGGCCTTGTTGACAATTCAAATTCGGTTTTACCACTCTGTCTTCATTCAACCAGGAATAATAACTAAAGCGCGGAGTAAAATCTTTGGCATTGGACCGACTAATCACATTCTTATTTCTTTGACTTCGGAAATTGCAGCTGCAAAAACATATATGCCTTCAACACCTTTAATGCCCCAAGGTCCTTCTATGGCGTCCGACAATACCAGCCCAGCCCCTCCAAATGCTCTGCGTGTTGGAAAAGCGATCTCAAACGGCATTCATGTTCTTTTGCAAACTAAAGTCATCCTTGCGTTGGTTTTACGGCATTGGCGATCTCCATGTGCAGAATATATATGTCAACTCAAAAATCCCCAGCTGATATTGCCGGCATTATTGACTAGTAGTCTATATCAGCTGTTTTCAGCGTCTTGTTTCACAGTTCTGTATGAGACGCGCGGATTCCATGTTGACCAACCCCCTCCGAAATTGGGACTCGTTCGTTTGGTTAGGTGGCTGCCAAAACAAGGGTAAGTTCAAGCCCCATAACTTCTCCAATGAGGGCAAGATTTGAATGATTTGAACCGCCATTGAGATTTCTATTTCAATTTCCAACGTGTGCAAAAAGGACTATTACTCCACACCTCCGTTCAGGTAGCTGTAGCTACCAAGCACCAGAATAATACCCAAAATTAGGGCAGCATGTCAATATAGCCGTTGTGCTAGTCTGATTTATGAACTAGGTGCCAATATCAGTCCATCTCATACATCAACGGATGTAATACTTACTGTGTATGCAATGAATGACCCCTCCAAGGATTGCATTCTCTTTTCACGATTTCGTCACCTACGCGCCCCACCCTCACCTGTAGTGTGAGGTCGGGCCATGCTTCAGGATGGAAGGCAGAGGGAACAATGGGCAGCAAGGGCCTTTTCCCATTGGATTGAACACTTCTCTGGAGATCGAGAGGTAAAAAGTATGTACAGTACAGTACATGGACAGAACATGCAAGTGGACATGGCACGCAAAGGAAAAAGAGTGAATAAGGTATATAACATTATATACAGGCTCTTTGTCAAGAAAGGATAGCACCGAAAGTGGGGCATCAGAGCAAACAAATAATGGCAAATTGACCCTGCGGCATTTCCCTTCACAGCCCTAAGCCGCAAGTCATGGGCGGATAGTGTCACTGCGCGCAGTGATATCTCTTTCATCAGCTTTTCCTGCCATTTTCTTTATGTCTGGTTGTTTAAGCAACGCTATTCGGAACAAGAACGCGCATACGAATCATCACTAGCAGCGAAGGTAAAGAGAGCAGTTTCGCATGAGCCTCTCTGTAAGTAGCCGACTCCCTCAGTCGTATTCATACGGAATATAGCAGAACGCAAGCAAACCACGCTGCCTTGGTGCAGGAATATCAGCAAACGTTCCCAAATTATCCGAAGCTCGTGTAGAACAACTATGGCAACAATAACCTACCATATTACTTGAGGGAATATCTAATCATCGTTTGTTCCCTGGCCCTCCCGGTGTTTCACCTCGGAGGAAGCAATTCATTGAGCTAGAATTTGAGACCCTGATTAGTGTTAGGCACGAGTTGCCCGGGTGGCAACTTATATTTATTTGTTCTTCGTTCCACCACGATCTTGGAACAACACGACCCTCGCGTCCACTGTTTGCTTATCTACTTACACAATCCCCAGTACCTGCACAGGAGAGGGGGGCCACCTCGGGAACAGGGATAGGCCGCGGTGAATGTTGTCTATACAAGCCATTGGTGCAAAGCTAAGACCTGTCACCACGGTCACCTCGCTATTCAATACAAGATACGAGTCTGACGCCTGCTTCTAGTTCTCACAACTCTCAGCTACGCGCCTGGCAGCGCTCTCATATAATTATAGAGACCTATCTCTATCCTTCAGTTTTCTATGCATGCTGGAATGGCCAAGGCGCAAACAGGTGATGGCAACCACCATATGCGTTGCCCGGTGACTACCAATCCACCTCACAAACATCAGTCCCCTGAGCAATATCCTTACACCACGTCCCCACCTAGGTCTAAAAGGCAGAAACTCAACAATATAGAATCAGCACATTGGGATAACCTGTCAAACGTTTGGTTCACTAAAAGTGCGTTGAGAGAGTTGGACCGAAGGAACCAGTGCCAGAGATCGTCCCAGAATCGTCGGCCTCTCACTCGACAATTTCATGCGGAGCTGAGGAAGAAGCCCCGTGAGCCTTTTCAGTTCGCTCCTGACTTTCGATCACCATTGACCTGGAAACATTTGTGCGCGGGGTGTCCGCGATCCGGAATGCTCGAGATTGGGCAAAGCAAAAAAGGGATGAATTTATTAAGTTGGAAAATAAACGACACGCAGAGCTTGCAGCACAATCTCGAAATCAATCAATATCTCAACACCAGATGGCTTGTGACCCACCCATTACCCCGGATGAATCCGATGCATCAACAACACCTGGTGAAGCAGGGTACCAGGACGCGAACTGGGGCGCCACGACCCCTGTTGAAGATACCAAAAGAGAAGAGTCTCAGGTTCATGGTAGAGCCCCGCAAAAGCCGAGAATTGGACGCGATACAGCTGGGAATCAGGTTTCTGGACTTCCAAACTGAGGGATAGCGCGGAAGAACACTTTGTTTTATTTCATTTTATTCATTTAACTCCTTAACCTGCTTTTCTCACCTGGTTTCATTGAAAGAATTGTGTTAATGGCTTGTTATAAGTTCCCTGAATCAAGTGTTTCTCAGAAATATTTTGGCAACCAGTGCACCCGACTTTTCGTCTGCTGTAGCAAAATGGCGTCAATTCCTCATGGAAGTTGACATGCGACGTAGTTTGGACGTAATAATACTCTCCATCTTTGTGCTCCAGCAGTGCAGATCCGCACCCCTCCTTTCAGTTTGTGGGAGCCCATTTATCCGAACACGACAACTGTTAATAGAAGTAGCAACAGATGTTTGAGGCATTCAATTTTAAAATGTAAAACATCATGCGCTTACAATGATAAGTCTCCTTTCGGTTATTTTTCCGTTGAAATATTGGGTTGCCAGGAAGGATCCCTCGGGGATGTTCCGTCGGGCCGGCCCCTATTTCCATTTCAGCCCGGCTTCCATGTTTCCATCATATACAAATATAGATTAAACCATTGATAAAAAGTCAGCATCTAATTAATCCCATAAGCAGGTGACAACCCATACCGGTTGAAAGAAAAAAAAAAAAGATGTCGAGTCTATGAATCAACCCTGTGCCAGAGGAGAAGGATGTAAAAGTGATATACGAAAACAAAATTAGCCACGACCCTTCGAACAGCGAACGCAGCGGCGAGATTCCAGAGCCGCGAATAAACAACCTATATAAACAATGCAGTTCTTTGCAACGCTACCGTGGTCTCATGTTGTAAACTTTAGACCAAATCTGACCTAGGTTTGCGATTGCGATTCCTGGCATTTTTCCTCATCATCATCACCGTCAAGTCAAGTGAGA